AGATGATATCACAAGAGAAAGAAATGAGAGATTGGAGTAATGGTATGGATGTAATACCAATAAAATAATGCTTCAAAATATGATGTTTAAGTTTTGATTTAGAACATGTCTAATTTAAATAAGAGGAAAGAGAGAAGGAATTGGAATAAAAAAGATATATAATGATCAATATAGGTGTAAAGAGTGATTAAGAAAAGAATAATGTAATGGTAGGATAAAAGGAGAGAGAATAATAACAACCAATTTATTAATAGAGAAAGAGAGAATGTGAGGCCATTATAGGTGTATAGAAAAGTATAATGATACAATTTGTGTAGGTAAATTAATATCATAAGAAAATTTCATAAAAGATGAAATATAGATAAAGCAAAATGTATTAAGAGAATAATGTTAATGAGTTATATCTTTTTTATTTTAACTTAAAATCTTCTAATACAGGCATTTGAGAAATAAGAGACAAATTGAGGTAAAAAGAGATATATAATAGTAATAGTTATACATGTAAAGGTTAAAGAAATTAATAAGATTTGATAAAGTATTCTATCATGTTTATTTCAAAAAATTTTAATTAATATAAAAATTAAATATCCATTTTGAAATGACTTTCATATTCATTAATTAAAAATTAATTTTATTATAAATTAATATTATTATATTTAATAATTACTAAAAAATACAATACAAATGAATCAAGCGTAGCACAGTTTTAAAACCTAGTATATTAATAAATTTGGGATTTCTTGATTGAATTGTTAAAGTCATGTGATTAATAAATTTCATTTTGATAATGTGGTTTGTTGGTGCCTGTAAATTATTAGTTAGGTTAAAGGTTTGAAATTTTTACGACCTTTGAAACTTTGAATTAAAAGTCTCGTTAAATGTAGGTTTAATTTAATTTTACGTTTTCCTCTTCAATAATTTGTTATTTATTAAGTAACAATTATTTTATAGGTTACGTTTAGAATTTCCATTTTTGTGACAAATATTTAAAAATTTTAATTTTTTTAATTGCAACAAATTAATGTGAAAATACACCTTTGTTGAAAAATGATTAATTTTAAAATACATGAAAATTGACCCAATACCAACTCACTGTAATTTAAAATTAAAATAAAAGGGTGACTGAAGGTGCTTTTATATTGAAGTAGGATGATTTCATGAGCAATTGTTGCTCTAGCCAATTGTCCTGATTATTATAACAGAGAGATTGAAGGTAATTTTAAAAGTTAAATCTATTAAAAAGTAATTATTATCTTATAAATTAAATAAATATTAAACTCTTAATATCAGCACACACAAAAATTGGTCTCCTTAAATAATCTTAGAGTGTAGAGCTACTTAAAAGTAGAAAAAAAAAAAAAGGAGGAGGGGGGCGGGGGAGGGACATGGAAGGTGCTTTAGTACATGAAGTAGCAGCCTTCCAGCTACTGTACTGCTATTTATCCGGCCGTCCACCGACATGAACATGACGAAAATTCAATACAAGGGCCCCCCATATTAATACTATAAAATAAAATGCAATAACTGAAGAAAAGCAGCTGAACTTGAAGGGATTAGGCGATGATATAGAGGTGATTACGAGAGGAAGTCGTGTGACAGATAGCGTCAGCAGGGGAGTAGGATTGATTACATAATTAAATCTCTATTTTAGGCCCTTTTTTTTTCATTATTGCGAATCTAGAAATAGTTGAATTTGTGCACAAGGAGACATAATTTGGAGTTGGAAGAATACTGTACACCCACCGCCCCTCCTTTTTGACAGCAGCCTGGGCCTACCGCGCCGTGCATTCCGATTGCCAACATCTGTTTTGCTAAGACACTTGGAAAATATAGTCATGGAATATATTTGTGTGTTTTGCGTGACTCTGTCTTTAACTGGAAAAAATTTGGATGGGGATATATACAGCGAAGGAAAGCACTTGATCGTGCGATTTTAAGAGTTTCTTTGGTTGGAATTTTGGAATTCCATGATGGAATCGATCGATTTTGATTCCGTACTATTCTTCCTTGGTGAGTAAGTACTTAATTTTATGGTAGTCAAAAAAGTTGAAAGAGAAAGATGCTCGATTTTTTGCTGTGCGATCGCGCGATTCGTTATTATTTTTCTCCCAAGTCGCAAGTATAAAGTGGCAGTTTATGAACTATGAGACGGACGCGATCAGTCGAGAGGCAGAGTGAGACTGCTTCATTTTCTATTGGTTCGCTAGTCTTTCTTGCGTTTCCATTTTTTATTACTAACAAAAATTTGGACCACATCCATCGACCCTTTTTGTGCCCAATTCATATGTTGTCTGGATAAAAGTCTCTCACTCTTTCTTTTTTTCTAGACAGAAAAGAACTTTTTAATAAAAAATAAAGAGCAAAAAGAAAATCAAGACATTTTGTTTTATAAACATTAAATGTGTTGGGTATAAGATGAATCTTAATTTTATTATATTTATTATGTAATTATGATTATATTTTGATATTTTTAAGGTTAAAACGTTCTAATTTTATACTTTTTACAAAGATAAATACATGTGCATACACAATATCTTTACTAAACTAACAAAAGTTTATGAAAATATTAAGTTATATAACAAGGAAGTTTAAAAAATTACAAGTACTTCATCGGTAAAAAGAGAATTTATTTTTTAAGTCAATCTATATTTAAAAAAAAAAAAAACATACAAGAATATTTATAAAGTTAATTAAATATCTTTAAAAAAGATAATTAATTAAAGATATTTAAATAATTTCATAAATATTTCTATATTTTTTCTTACAGGCAACCTGAAAATCTTGCAACTCCTAGTCGAAATATGAATTCTTTGCTCCTGACAAGTACTTACTCTCTACTCTGCTTTCTAGCTTAATTTGTAGCTCCTGGTAGCGCCAGAGTCAAGTCTAAATTCAAAACAGATTCCTCTTGATCGCCGACCAATCCCAAATTTATCTTCTTGGCATCATTGAATGCTTTACCGGATTCTGTTTTTGGTTTAGCCTTGTTGGGGACTGAAACGCCCAAATTCCCATCAACAGAAGGTGCCCTGGTTGCTCTGTCCACCTCAATCCGAAACCAGAATTCTTCTTCATCATCCTCTCCGTAAAGGGTCACTACATCTCCGACATCTAAGCGGTTGCGGCGAACAAAGGGTATCCAACCGTTAGAGAAAACAGGTTTTTTGTAACCCTGTTTCCTAGTGGAACATACCATTGGCCACACTCGACTCTCATACCGAATGTTCAATTTTACGGTATGGCCTTCATTGAAATTTGGAAAGAATTCCAGACTCTTTGATGGGATTGCCAGCCTCCTGGTGATATCAGTGGGTTTCAGAGGTTTCTTGAAGAGCCTGGTTGTCTGAGGCATGCTACCAAGATTGGGGTAACAATAAAAATTCTCAGGAAAAGAAAATGTAAAACAGGGAGATTGAAGGTAATTTGGGAAGTGAAGGATAGCAGGCTAGCAAGTTGCAGCCATAATACTGCATACTACTGCTATTTATAACCGTCAACAGGAGCAAGACAAAAATTCAACCAACAGGCCCCATGTATTGCGCTAAAATGAAAGCACTGAAGAAACCCAATTGAAATTGGAGGTATCTCAATCGATACCATAAAGGTGATCGCGCGTGAGATATAGAGGTGATCGCGAGGGCACTCGGTTTTTGGCTGAAGTAGTGGATAAGATACACTAAAATCACAATTAAGGGGCTTATCATATTGTTGCACTGAATTGAAGTCCTAAAATTATTCGTAATTTTTAACTAAGATTTTAATTAGATAAAAATTAAATTAGTTGTTAAATCTATTAACTCTTATTGGTAAAAATAACAAAAATAGTCATTAGAATTTTAATTTTAACCTTCAATAAATTCAAAACCATACTCCTAATTTTTTTTATTGATGAGGAAATTTTTTGGCACTTGTAAATAAAAATTTATTGTGGCATTTATTTGGAGCTAACTCTATTTTTTTGCCACAAATGGATTTATCATGTAAATGTGTGTGACACACTCAAAAAACATTTTTTTGTTAATGGTTAATTAGCTTTTTAATAAAATAATTTGAAGGTTAATTTGTAAACTATTTATGATAATTAAATTAAATTTTTAATTTTTGGACCCACAAAAATTTTCTTATCAACAAAAAAGAAAAAGTTTAAAGATCATTTTAAAGTTTTTTATTTGATCAATGATTGGGTGAATTTAATGGTTTTTATTTAATTGAAACTTTATTTAAAAATTTTGACAATTTTAAAATTTTAATTGAGCAAAATAAAACTTTGAGATATTAATTATGAGTTTAGCATAAGTTAGGGACCTTATGCACTAGTTTAGACTTTTGATATTGATCTAGAAATAGTTCTATTTTCAATA